AGATTTGTGTGTCTTCCTAGACTTGTCACCTTCAATCTTATTCGAGTTGATGATAGATCCCACGAATCTATAGGCCAGATTTTATCCGGATGTGCAGTTCTGGAGTTCATGTATATCGAACAAAATGTCAATTTAGCTGCGGAAGTTATTAAAATTTCTTCCCCTACTTTGAAAACACTCAGACTGGATTTTTATGCGGATTGCTGTCTGGATGATGATTGGTTCCGTAAGCTAGAGATAAATGCCCCTGCACTTGAGTATCTGTACTTGAAAGATAGAACAACTGAGTCTTTCAGCATTGAGGGCCTAAAAGCTTTGTGTGAAGCAGAAATTGACGTTTATATGTGTGATCCTCCTGAAAGTGATTACTGTAATTCAGTTGTCAAACTGTTCCTGGCGTTGCAACATGTCAAGCTTCTGACTTTATCAAGAGACACAATGCGGGTAAATTATGGAATCTCTCAGAACATTTGTAACTAGGGTGATTTTATGACTATTTGGTGTGAGATCTATTTGTGACTAACATTTGAAATTTGAAAATTTAGATTTGTCTATTCTGTTTCAATATTTGACTGGAGCTAAATAGTTCTAAGCTGAGAAGATTCGTTATAAGCCTAATGATGTTTCTGTAGTTCTTGGCAGAGCCACTGCTCACTTCTCTTCAAAGTTTGACAGATTGACCACGTTGGTGGTGGAAGCCCACTGGTGTAAACGGAGTTGTTTGCCGGCTTTGCTTGAAAGTTCAGTCAATTTAGAAGTTCTTGAGGTTTTAACGGTTAGTTTAAGGCTTTCAAATAGATAGAAGGCAACAATTCATTTTCATTTGAAATGCCGATCTCTGAATATCTGCTTTTGTTGCAATTAGACTTTTTGTCGTTATGACTATCTAGACCTTATTAGGCTGGCTGGAGGAATCCTGATCGAGTTCCTAGATGCTTGCTGACGAGTCTTAAAGAAATTGCTGTTCAAGGACTTGAAGGCGGGAAAGGCGAGCTTGCAATGATTAGCTATTTTCTTAAGCATGGTAGAGTGTTGGAAGTAGTAGATCTATATTCTAAAGTAGATCTTGATATCGAGAAAAAATTTCAGCTACTTCAGAAGATATCCGTGTTCCCAAGGAAGTCAGACACATGCGAGGTTGAGTTTCACTGAAATGGCTTCAATGAACTTGTCCATTTGACTCTTTTTGGAAAGTGATTGGCTTCAATGTGTTTTGGTTTTATAGCTTTACCAATAATGCTCTTAGGGCAATGTTAACACTCAAAAACATATTCTATTTACTGTGCAATCTGGATCGACTTCGTGGTTCACGTATTAGTACATTTTGTACATGTATCCAATATAAATATAATACTTTTCATAACTAAATCTGATTATTTTCATGATTGATGCCATTACAATGAATAAGTGAAAATTGTGCCCTCTTAGTTAAATATCTGCTTACACGCTCCTTTTCATCAATTTTCCCTCATTACAATATTACAATAGGCTGAAAGTGAGAGAACAATTTTGCTTTGATAAAACACCATAATTTCATTAAAATCTACATTAATGGCAGCAATTGCATCAATATCTAAAGAATAGATACTTTAAATTTGAAGAATTGATAAAAAAAAAATTAGATTGTAGATCTTTAAAAAACTTACAAAAATATGGTAAAACATTTACGTCCCCAAGAACATTTATGCATATTGCTGATTAACTATTTCAAATGTAGATATTATGATGAGATCTATAAAATAGATCTAAGGAATCTTATACCTAATAAAAGAAATAGAAATAGACCTAAGTCTAGTTGGACTCAAAATAACTAATGGGGTTTAGACAAAATTCTAAACTATAATTATCAAATTTTATTTAATAAATTTGTTGCAAAGGCAACAAATGTAGAAAAGTAAGCTAATCATTTTTCTACTGAAAGAAATTTCTTAAAAATCAATAGAACTAATAAATGTAGATGCGAAGTGGAAGTAAGCGACAAAAGATCAAATCAAAATGTTTTTAAAAAAAATCCTATTTCACTTTTCTTTAATTTTCAATTTATCTCGCTTTTGGCACTCTAAAATTGAATTACTTCCCTTTACTATTGTCTTGAGATACCAAATTAACAGTCCACAAAATTGGGACATCACTGTTACCTGATCTACTCACCTACAGGGTCAGTAGCTTTAATTTTTTTTTTTCGATGGGCAGTGAATAACATTGAAAAATGAAGTTTAAATTTTGAAAACTGAAATATAAGTGCTGAAATTTGATGGATTCATAAAGGTGCATTGGTTTCATCATCGGCTAAGTTGGAACACTGAATTGATATTCTTATTCTGTCTATTTTATGTAATTTGATACCAATATTATGTTCTAGATTATATCAAATCAGCTTTTTTTTAGGTTATCTTACTGCAGGGAAGATATACACTGGTATTTTATTTTAAATCTATCAATCCTAGTAAAATCTTGTTGATGCATATGTGACTTCTCGAGGATATACACTAATTAGTTATTCTGGAGTTAATGGGTCTTACAATATGTTTTGTGACTACAATAATGTATAGTTTCCGATTCGAAATTACAAATGGCAACATGCGGTCGGGATTAATAAGGGAATTAGTTAATTTTGCATAGCATTTGTAAGGCACGAATGTAGATATAACAGGGGTGGATTAACGTCCAATGTACAATCTAGAGAAGTTATTATGGGAATCAAAAGGTTCGTGGTGTATTAGAAACTAGAAATGTTGCTAGATAGACAGGGTAAAGTGAATACCTTTTAAAGTTTAAATTGAGTAAAAAGTACAATTTCAATCTTGACAAAATTAAATGGAGATGATTTCAAAGTTTGTAGGTAAAGGGTAACATTATAAAATACATAATGCATGAAATTTTAGTCGTATTAGGGTCGCAGAAGAGTTGAGTGACTATAAGCTCTCACAAGTTGGCTAGGTCAATTGTCAACTCGACTTCAATTTTGAGGTTCGAATTGAGTTTGAGTCCAATGATACTTGACTCAGAGGTCCATCGAGCTTGACAAAACATATTTATCTATTTTTTTCATTTTCTTTGTATATTAGAGTGTATTTCTATTTTACCCATTCTAAAAGTATTATATTATTATTATTTCTTTTAGTTCAATTAGGCTTGAACTCGATTACCACTAGAATTAGACCTAATTTTGAGCTCAAACTCGAATTTTACTCTAAGAGTTAGATCTGGTCTTAAACCGCGTAAAGTAATTTGAGCTTGGTTCAATTGAGTGAAACTTGCCTCAAGTTGAGTTCACAAGTTTTCTTTTGGTTTATTATCATTCTACCCCTTTAACATTTTATGCTATTATTATTATTATTATTATTATTATTAGTTTACCCTCCCTTTCCTTCCCATACCTTCCCCAATCCCTTATTATCAGGCTCAATATTTGAATCCTAAACCTAACAATGGAGAGAACTATAAGAGGCCTTCCCTAATTATTGGATCAATTCTAGTGGTTAATACAAGTTGGGAGAGGACATTACAAAATAACCATCAAACATTATTTTTTATGTTATTACCAGTTTCCCTTTAACACTGTTGTTTAGTAACTTTACTCTCAAGACTAATGGTCAAAATAAAAAAGTTTGCTAACTCAAGTTAAATGACATGTTTGGCCCTTAGAATTATTATCACTTTACCCACATAAAGTATAACCTCATTATCAATTTATTCCTCAATGTTATTTTCTAGTCATGTTACTCTATTGTTAAACCAACTCAGCATATTGAAAATATTTTAAACAACAATACCTTCCTCTCTTGTATAATTAAAAAATAAGAAATTTAGAATTGCTCTTCTCTTTTATGTTGCCCTTTTTAATACCAAGAAAAAAGTCAAAAGTGTTCATTTCCTTTTTTTTTTGTGCACTCTTATTAACTAAAAAGAAAATTAAGAGGAAGAGAGCTTAATTCTTTAAAAAAGAAAAAAAATCAAATATTCTCATTATTTTAAAATCACTCCTTACTCTTCCACCTACCCCTCACATCCAACTCCAATGACATTAAAGTAATGATAATATTGGATTCTTTCTTTTTTTTTTTCTTTCTTGAGTCTTTTACCTCCCTTTCTCCCATCTCTTGTTCTTTTTCTTGGTATTAATAGAAGTGAAAGAAAAAGAGGAGAAAACTCCTTTTGCTTTTATTTTCTTGATACTCTTGGGAAAAAAAAGAAAAAAAAATAATCATTTCAACTTTTTTCTTTAATTGTATATGAGAGAAGGATATTTCCGTTAAAATTTTTTTTAGAACTGGATTGATAATGATGGGGTAAATTTTAAAAACAAAATTAGATGGCAAATTAATAGTAGCATTATATTTTAAGGAAGTAAAGTACTAATAAATCCTACATAAGAAGGGTATAAGAGGGAAAGTGTTCTTGTTCTAATTTTTTCAACGTGTGAAGTTTACTCAATAATGGGGTAAAATGACTAAAAATTAAATGTTAGGGGAAAAAATTGATAGTAGTATTATAGTTTAAGGAGATAAAGTGATAATCTTTTTTTTTTTTTTGGCTCAATTGGAAACTCTGTCTGGTACAGTGTATCGCAGGCACTGTCTGGATCTCACCCTTCTTTCAAAGACAACTTGAAACTTGAAAGTTCATCTATGGCTCGGGTGAAAGACTAAAAATCGATAATGGGGTAAAATGACTAAAAAATAAATGTTAGGGGAAAAAATTAATAGTAGTGTTATAGTTTAAGAAGGTAAAGTGATAATTTTTTTTTTTTAGCTCAATTGGAAACTCTGTCTGGTACAGTATCACAGGCACTTTCTGGATCTTACCCATCTTTCAAAGTCGACTTGAAACTTAGAAAGTCCATCTTTGGCTGGGTGAAAGACTAAAAATCGATAATGGGGTAAAATGATTAAAAAATAAATGTTAGGGAAAAAAAATTGATAGTAATATTATAGTCTAAGGTAAAGTGATAATATATATATATATATATATATATATATATATATTTTTAGCTCAATTCGAAACTCTGTCTGGTACAGTATCACAGGCACTTTCTGGATCTCACCCTTCTTTCAAAGTCGACTTGAAACTTGAAAGTTCATCTATGGCTCGGGTGAAAGACATTCGGAAGATGGATGAGTGGTATTTCTCTCCATTGTTCACCCACCCCCAAAAGAAAAATTAGTGGTTTTCTTTCATTTCTACCTTTCCATTTTGTGTTTTTTTTTTGTTCTTGGATTCTTTATTTATTTATTTTTGCGATTTGTAGGTGATTCTATGGTTCTGTTTGCTTCTGTCTTGCAAATTAGCTAGAGAATTTGTCATGCAAAAACTATTCAGTTGGCAATAATAATTGTTAATATATTTTCTTAGCATTAAACTAGCGAAGCCCTTATCTATTTGTTGCGCGTTTGTTGAAATTAATGTTCTCATTAACGTTTGATCAGATGCCCCAATTAGTCAACTTCTATTGTTAGAAAACCTATTAATTAGTTAAACTTATGCTATTTATTAATTGATGCAGGGTTCTTGTCTTCAGTTTCAGAAAATGATGAGGCAAAACTTTTAATAGAAATTGGCATCTTATTTAATGAGGCAAAACTTGGTTAAGTATCATTTGGTTGCCATTTTGCTACTGCTATTACAGACTTTAGATTTTGAGGGGGAGATGCTTAGTTGGAATGGCAAGCTCTAATAGGTATTGGACTCGTTCTGCTATTAAAGGATCAAGCTACAAGCGCAAGAGAGGCTTGAGCGAAGTGGTGAATTCAGATGTTAGGCTTAGTAATTTGCCAGACTGGATACCTTGTCACATTCTGTCTTTTCTTCCAACAAAAGAAGTTATGGCTACGAGCCTTTTATCAAGACGATGGGAATTTCTCTGGACTGAAATCTGTAGTTTTCATTTTGAAGATTTCAATGAATGTTAGAGCCGTAGTGACATTTAAAAAAAAAAAAAAAAGAGCTTTGTGAAATTTGTAGACAGGGTTTTGCTTCTCAGAAATGTCAAAACAACAATAAGTTCCGTCTGAAGTGGAAATATTTCTGCGAAAGCATCAAAGCGAGAAGATGGGTCAACATTGCAGTTGCTAGTAATGTCCAAGTGCTTAATGTCCTTCTTCATTGTGCTTGTGATAGCTGTTCTGGTTTAGGCTATAAATTGTGCCTAGGAGCCTCTTTACTTGTGATACACAAGAATTTCTATAATTGTCTGGTGATATTGTCATTGATGTTCCAAACATCGTTTATCTTCCTAGGCTTGTGAATCTGAATCTTGCTAGAGTTGCATTCAAATCCAATGACTCTGTCCAGAATCTTATACCTGGTTGTGCAGTTCTAAAGTTCTTGTCTATCGCAAGAAATACCTGGCATGATGCGGCTATAATCACAATATCATCTCCTGTTTTGAAAAGACTAGAACTTAAACCTTATGAAGAAAGTTTAGGTTTTTTTTATCCTTATGATTTTGGCTATAAAGACTCTAAGCTCAAGATCATTGCCTCTGTACTTGAGCACCTGTATCTGCAAGATTGCAAGATTGTGCCAGTCAAGACTTTGTTTTAGGAAGCCTTACCTCCTTAGAAGAAGTATATGTTGATGTTTCCTGCCACAGCCCCCCTGAAATCAGATATTGGAATTCAGTTGTTAAGCTACTTGAAACACTTCATCATGTGAAGTTTCTGAGGTTTTCATATGATACCAGTAACGTAAAGCTGTTTGTTTTAGTTCCCATTAAATTGTAAATCTTATGATTCGGTATGGTACACAAAGAACTTAAGCTAAGGAAATTGAACAAGTATTTGGTCTTCGATGCTTCAATTAATAGGAAATCTGAGCTCAATTGTTCTAATGGGGACAAGCTGAATGATTTTTCTGTAGGCTCTTAATGGAGCAACTAACCATTTGTCGACAACGTTCAAGAGATTAACCACACTGGTTGTAGAAGTTTATTGCTCCAAGTGGAAATTCCTGCCAATGTTGCTTGAAAACTCTGTCAATTTACAAGTTCTCCAACTTTACAAGGTCAGTCTAAGGCTGTTGTATGTGAAGAAACAATGAAAATTACCACTTGTAGAAGGAGTTGTTCTGTTACACTTTCAACTCTTGGAGAATGTAGTGAACAGCTATTTTTTGTTGTAACCAGCCATGGTATCTATGTTGTCAAGAAACACATAATGGATGCTGGAGGATTCCTAGTTGCTTGCTATCAAGTCTCAGAGAAATGTTCGTCAGAGGATTTACTGGCCTGGAAGATGAGCTTGCAATGATAAGGTATGTTCTGAAGTATGGGAGAGTCCTCAAAAAAATGGAGCTAGATTCTGGTCTGTATGCTGATGACTTCAAGAAAAAGTTCCAGTTGCTTCAGAAGATATTAATGTTCCCCAGAAAGTCATTTACATGTGTGATTGCATTTTGTTGAGGTGCATAGATGAGCTGATTATGACCTTTTTACTAAGAGGTGATGTAACTAAAGTAGAATTGAGTTTTTAATTTCTACGTGTTAAGTTTTTTGAAGTTGTGTGTACAAATACGTTTTATGGTGCTGCTTACAGTTTTTAAGGGATAGGAACCATATGACCCAAGTAGCTTGCTCTCTGATTATTTTGCGTATGTGGAATTAATTGGTCCTTTTGTTTGAGCTTGATTACAACCTCTTAGTTTGGGCTCTTTAACTAATGGTCCCTGTTTACCGAGTTGCTTATGACAAAATACTACAGACTTTGGACTTGGCATAGCAGTCTTGCTTCAATTAAGAAGCTAGTTTCATACATAACGATTTTACTTTGTATTTGGCAGAACTCTGAGATATCATGTTTGTCACTTTTTCAACATTTGACAAAATGTTTTCATGATGATGTCAGTAATTTAACTACTGCTAGATTCAGATTGCTAAGCATGCATGAAAAGTAACTTCAAATGCAGCTCAGTCATTCTCAATTTTACATGTCAGTAATATTAATGCTTTAAATGGATTTCCTCAGTCCCTCGAACTCTCTTTTGCTGAGATTGATTTTAAACTGTGGTTGGGCATATGAACTTTAACAAGATTTATGCCATTTTATCACATTGGATGCGAATGATTTATTTGCACCTGTATCTATTTGCCGCATTGACTTTCTGTATACGTAGTTTGAAATTGAATACTTTAAGGTTTATGACAAGTTTTCCTTGTCCAGCTAGTCCTGGATAGGGATGGCAAAGGGGCGGGGGTGGGGCGGGGGACACCTCCTCCTACCCCCGCCCCGTTGCATTTTAATTCCCCCTACCCCCGCACCCGCGCGTCCCCCACCCCTTGCTTCCCCCGCCCCGCCCCGCTTCCACCGCGGGGGCACTCGTGGGGTTAAAAAATTTTATTATATAACTTAATTATAATTAAATTTGAGCAAATAATCAAATGCTAAAATATCTACGCATCACCAAATTATTATTGATTGTAACTTCACAATTAAAACTCATAAAAATAATTAAATAAAGATTATTTGAATACAATCTAATATAATAAAACAAATATAACTAAAATAATCAAGTTTTCACTTTTGATACAGTTACAATTACTAAATTATTATTGTGTTTTTTTAGAAAAAATGTTATTGTATTAAGTGTAGTTAGGAATTTAATATAAATATATTAATAAATTTAGTATAAATAATTAATAATTTTTATTAATAGACATGTATAATTAGTAATATAATTGATAATATCATTATATATATAATTATGTACATATATATATATATATTTCAAACGGGTGGCAGGGCAGGGGATGGGGTGGGGGAGTACGGGACAGGTACTCCCCCGCCCCCCCCCCCCACGCCCCGTTTCTAAACGGGGGTAAAAAATTCCCCCCCGCCCTCGGCCCCGCCTCAACCCCTGCCCCAACGGGGGCAAGTGTCCGCCCCTGTTGCCATCTCTAGTCCTGGACATTAATATTTAGTCAACATAGTGGAAAAGCCCTTTGATGTACTATGAAAGATGAGTTTTCTGAACACCTGAGCTAAGCCCGTGGCCCAGGACATTAGCAGGTTCATTCTTCACCTGACCATTAGAAGGGTTCCTAAAGCTTGTTTGGTTCAGTTTCGGAATGCGCTTAATTGCTACGACGTATGAAGTTGGCTTTCCCAGAATTAGGAGACAAATTTTGGGTATGTCTTCAATCTATTCCAAGTCTTTGTCTAAAATCAGTCATATGACTGTATATAAGAAGTTAGAACTTTTAATTTTCTCTGCACTCCTCCTCAAATAACGGTTGCTTCAATATGTAAATGTCTTTGCATCCTTACATTTCCTTAATCTGAGGCTTCTAGGAGTAAGTGCTTGGGCGAAGGAGGAGAGTTGCTATATGTGCAGATAAGAAGTATGTGTTGGATAAGGCTCCATAAAATTTGTGGTTTTTGGGGCTCACATAACGGTCTGTATGCAAGAGACGTTGAGCTTATCATAATTTGGTTCCATTCAAAATCCACCCTGAAATGAGAGCTACATCTAAGTCATATTCGAAGGAGAAAAAAAAACTTTATGGTATAACGATGTTGGCAAAATTTTTTATAAAAAAGAAGGTATTGAATGGTCTTTTGGGAACTACACGACATGGTGTACTATAGTACAGGGCACATCATATTTTGTCTAGTTATGTGCTAGGTACTGCTACCATTTTTCTAAACGGTGATTGATTGGTACATGTGCCTTCATAATAGTCATGATAATCTGTCTAGCGTAATGCACAGTGGCTAGGCTGTTCTAAATAATTTGATAATCAAAAAATGGGCAACCAACCGTTGATGGGGCTGTTGGTTAAGGGCTGCATGCCCTGCCTGGCAGACCAAGGCTTGAACCTGGCTGTCAGATTTGGGGTAGAGAGCGAACCTTCTTTGTTTTTTTTTTGGTGGGGGGAGGGGGGAGGTGGGGGAAGGTTTAAAAAAATCTAAAATCGGCATTGCTCAATAGGTATTTGTGGATATTCAGTTGCCTCTTGATTATATGTGAATCGGATCATATGCAGATCAGCTACGCGCATTTGATTTGAAGCACGTTTTAGTTTTGATCTGCAGATATGAATTTGATCTACATGGTACTTTTGTATCATTGAGAAAATTTTTCTATTAAGATTAACTTTAAATCTCATCTACTCTATGCCATGCGGCAAGGAAAAGAATCTTAGAATTCTCACTAGTGCCAGGCTCAAGATATGGGGTGGGAAGAGTTCGAGGAAAGGTGGAAGGTCACCAAAAAAAAAAAAAAAAAAACCTATCCTATTCTAATTTGATCTCTTTTTTATCAAATTTATGTCTATATTCTTTTTCAACAATAGTTTTTTTTTTGTATATTGTGTCAAATTTTTAAAACTATTGTCATACAAAAATTTTGGATGTAATATTAAATATTATTTATTCTTAATTGGAATTCAATTCTTTTATGAAAAAACAAATAAAAACAATGATATAGATAACATAGAGGATCTTCTATCCCACTACGTGTACTATTTTTTGTCTCAGCATTTACTAAATTGCCATATATCCCTCGTGAAGATCTCATTTCAGCTCTTTCTCGTCTCTTTAAGTTCTGGCAACTACTTATAGGTTAGAATATAAAATACAATAGACTAAATAATAATATATAATAGAAAAACAAAAAAGGCAAAAAAAAATCCATTTAATGAATCCATTTTTTAGTTAAATTTTGTATGTTTAGTATGCTATCTTTAGCATTCTACCCTGTTAGTAGTGTTCGAACTTAAAGGATAAGAAAAAGAATCGAAATGAAATATTTGTGAAGGGTATGTAGCTACTTAATAAATTTTGAGATAGGGCATGGCTTAAGAAGTGGGACGTAAGACCATTTGCGGATAGATTGCTTTGTGTTACAACCAAAAACTACTAATCGATTTGGACTAACAGCTCGCATGTCCATAGCATATATCATTGACATATTACTTGCGGGACTCTAAAGCTTTCATAATTTTATTTTCTCTTTTTGATTATCTGAATTCAACAAAGAAAAGATTAAAAAGATGCGGACAGCTTTACATGATCCTTGTTTTATTGATATAAATTCAGTTACAAAGGAAGCCAACAAAGTAGCTCATGCGCACTTTGCTGAAATTTCCGACTCTGTTGATTCCTATGAAACTTAAATTTAGCGATTCAAGCTGGACGATTTTCAATAAATTTAGCAATAAAATATTTTATATATAAAAAGAAAAAGATCGAAAAATTGGATGCGGATAAGATATGATTTGATCCACGTGAAGCAAAGTAGATCCGGATACGAATCACAAAATTGCTAATCTGAATATTAGTCAGTTTGTGTGTGTATTGTATCTGATACATGAACAGTTAATAGCGGTCATTACCGTTGATTTTTCTGTGATAGATGAAGGACCAAAGGCCAAAGAATTTTGAATTTCAAGCTTGTAGGGCGAGTTTCTTTACAAGCACTGAAATTGTGTTTATAGGCAAAGACATGTATACATTTTAAACTTTTCAGTGTCCTACCAAAAATTTGAGGTATAAATTGCTATAGATATGTATAAACATTGCCCATCAATGAGTTATTTATTTTCTGAAAATTGGGGCATCGAGACTCAGTAATGGAACTTCTCAACTCATTTGGTAAAAAAAGAAGAGAAATGTTAATTGCACTCCTACTATTTATTTTATCATATAGTCTAATAAATAAAAATTATAAGATAAAAATGACAATAAAAATACAATTAATAGAATGTGGAGTGCGATTAATATTTCTCAAAAAGAAAAATCCAAACATGCATCCAGCATCTATTGCAAGGTGGGGGATAAAATGACCAACTACAGCCCCTTCATGCACCACTAGAGGTGTCAAAATAGGTGACTTGGGCGGGTTTGGGTTGGGTAAAATGGGTAATAGGTATAAGTGAATCAACCCATTTATACCCATTTAATTAGATGGGTATAAATGGGTAAGTCAAAAAATGAATTGGGTAACCCAATTACCCATTTATAACCCATTTATTTTAATTTTTTATAAATTCATTTAAATTCATTTTTGCAAACTAAGTTATCAATTTATACCGCTCTTTGTACCCATCATTAGATTTAAATATTTACTTATAATGGTCAATAAGCCTAATTACCAATTTTTTTTCATTTATACTCTATTTCACAAAATTACATATTATTTAATAATTGAATAATAAGAATATAAAAATTTGAACTAAGTACTATAAAAGTTAATATAAAAATTTAATCCAAAAATTTTGAACCCCTAACATTTTTTCCATGTATAAATTTAAAATTTCATTTTAGAAAGCTAAGAAAAGAGGCTTAAATTTATCATAAATTGGTAATGCCGAAAAATGAGCAAGTTAACAAATTAAGAGAAAATAAAATAATAAAATAAAACCAACAAATAATAATAATAATGAAACAAAAGTAGTTAACATCATGACAAAATGAAAAAATTTTTTAAAAAAAATGGGTGGGGGAAAAGAAGAGATTTAGGGGGAAGAGAATTCTAAATGGGTTAATTGGGTTTAATGGGTTACCCAATAATACCCATTTATTAAATGGGTATTATTGGGTAACCCATTTATACCCATATATAAAAATTTAAGATACCCATACCTATCTATTCATGGGCAGGTATGGGTAAATTTAGTTAAGTGGGTTGATTTGCTACCTCTACGCACCACTAACACTCCTTGCTTGCAATATTAGAATAAGAAAGTGAGCCATCTAAAGATGATGTAGCTAAGTGTCCATTTCATTGCAAATTTGCTCTCAGCCATTAACTCAAGATTATAATTTCAAGTCCTCAGATGCATCAACTCTCTTTATTACTTCTAAGATCCTGACCGAAGGTTCCACGTTTAGCTTGTATACTCAGAGATATAATAAGATTTTTAAGTGATTAAAATTTTATTAACATTTAAAACAATTGGTAAAATTCACGAATCTTTCATATTCGTTAGAGCTTGGCACACTGGTGAAGGTTTGGGTTTCCAGGTTTATTTACCTAATTATCCAATATATTTGTAACCCTAATACTTCATTTAACTACAAGTATATAGATCAACCTTGAGTGTAGAGATAATTCGGGTCGATCCCTCAGGGAACAAAATTCAATTACTAGAACTAATTAATTGCTTTATTATCTAGATAATCAAGAAAATTTTTTTAGACTAAATCAGTAAATTTCTTCAAAGCTAGTAAACTCAAATTAACAATTCAACTATTAAATTTAGACAATCACTTGAAGGAAATGATTCCAAAGTTTTATAATCCCTTGTTGCACGAGATAAAACTTAACTTGGTTGAATTGCTCCAATTTGATTACTTGATTGGAATTAATTTCCAATTGGTATTGAATGTTACAAGTAGCAATGACCAACATACCCTTGTTTAGCCCCGTCTATAAACATGGTTGAAGGACGAAAAAACGAGCTCATATAGATTTGTGAAATTATCAAGAAATCTAATTAATTCATCTTCTACTTTTGCGAATTTGAAATTTGAGTTTCAAGAATCTAGATCTCTAGATCATTACAAACTTTCATTACTTAACAATTGCTAAAATTGATTCATAATTGATGATCAATCAATTATAAATTTAAAAGCAGATTCAAGAACTAAGCAAGTAAGAAAACCTCACAAATCAACTGTAATCAAGTCATAATCTCATACAAACAAGTTCATTGAAAACCCTATGAATTCAAGTTCTAGCCTCTCTTGCTTCTAAAAAGGAAAAAGGTGGAAATACAACCAATAAATGTCATGATTGAGTTGCAAATTGAAACGTTCCTCTCACTAAGTAGAGGGTTTCTCACTCTAAGTAGAAGTGCTCTCTCTGGGGATAGGAGGTTCTTCACCTTTTTGGTGGGAAAAGGCAGCCAACTCAAACTTTTTCAAACACCCCTATTCAAACACCCATAATCCCGCACTTTAACAATAGGAGATTCTAAGGTAGATGTTTCCTCATCTCTGTCGGAAATTATGCAATCGAAAGCAGTAAATCACTGAGATACGTATTGCATGGATAGAAGTAGCTCAAGCGACACAAGCTCCAAAACTTGAGTAAGCTTTTGCCAGGTATAATGCGGTTCTGTGCTTCTATCTTTCCTTTTATTTTTAAAGGTAACCGTGGTCAGAGCAACTTTTTACATTTTCTTTTTCATTTTGGGTCTTAGTCAGTAAAACCATTCAATGTTTCTATTTGGTTTCTCTGTTCTCTGTTGTTTCTTTATCTGTTCGTACCCTGTTTTTAACCTGCGTCCTCTGAGTGTCGAGTGGAGTTTTTCTATCTAGCGAGGGCTGACTGTCCATGGAGGGAGATCTATCAGAACTTCTACAGAAATTTTCCCTGGAGGGGAATGAGCTCTTAGGAGCTGTTTTGGAAGTGGAAGACCTACAGAATGGTGTGAGAGCATGCGAAGATAGCCTCATAGAAAGAGTTATAGGAGAGAAAGTGACTAATTTTACAGGAATCAAAAGTTTTGTTGCTATGGCATGGGGTTATCCGAGGAATATGATAGTTATGGAACTGGGACCTAATGTGTTTCAATTCAATATCCCAAATGCTGATGAGAAGGAAAAAATTGTCAATATGGGACCTTGGGTGATTGACAATCAAATTTTAGTGCTGAACAAGTGGTCAGAGGGAATAGAGGAAGCCTATAATGCCTTTATGGTAGCACCCCTTTGGGTGCAACTCTGGAACTTGCCAATCCACTGGCTTTCTAAAGAGGTTGGAAAAAAGGTTGGTTCAGTGTCAAAAAAGTTAGAGAGGTGATAGTACCTTAGTCCGGGGGGAAAGAGGGTAGACACTTGAAGATATTAGCTCAAATAGATTTGTCTAAACCTCTTTTATGAGGTACAATGGTTAAGATTGCAGGAGTTCTTAAATGGGTAGCATTTAAATACGAAAGGTGTCCTGATTTTTGTTACAATTGTGGTATAGTAGGCCATAGTGAGAGGTCCTGTAAGGAGAGGAGAGTCCTGGGGGATGTAATGTAGAAAACCAATATGGCCCTTGGATGAGAGCTGGGACTTATAAAAGCTCACCTCAAAAAAAAATCAAATAGGCCTGAAGTGTTAAGTGACAAAAGATACTGGTCCTATCGAAATGGAGATTTGATTGAGCAGGAGAGGAGTAGGACTCTATTGGCTAAATGTCTACTGGAAATGCTCAAGTCCAATGGTAATGAAGGTGATAGCATCCAGGAGTTAAGAAATGATAGAGTAGATGACAGGATCGTGAAAGATACAGGCGCATATCTACATATGTAAAGGAATGTAAGGATGTGCCTCAAGGTGGTCAGGAGGGACAGTTGAACCTAGATAAGAGGAACCCCCTAATCTTTCTCTAGTGCATCAGGTCGTAGAAGAAGGTAAAAATCCAACTGATGTAGATACGATGGAGGAGGATAGAGAGGGTGAGATATTGAGCCAAAATCAGAATCAAGAACTGGGGACTTATGAGGAGTCAGTAGGAACTTTAGTGCTTTGCCAGGAGGGCCAATGTGATGAAAGGGTAGGGGCGGAGACAGATAAGCAAGCCAAGAGGACCTTTAGGAGATTGAAATCCCCAACCAGAACTAGAAAACCTTTAAGGGAGTTAAATGGTAGAGGAGATAGTCAGATGAAGGCTGGGAAGAGGAAGTGCCTGATCAGGGATGAAGAGATGGAGGATGCTAAATATGAGCTAGCATAATGGAAAAAAACTAAGCCTATGGAGGAACTGTATTCTCCCTTCCTTAAAGGGGCCCCCAAAGGAGAATGAGAATTATGGTGTGGAACTGTCAAGGAGTGGGGAGCCCCTTGATAGTTCCCCAGCTAAGGGAGGTGAATAACCTCTCCTCTCCAAGTTTGATTTTTTTAAGTGAGACTAAGAATAGGAAACCAGTTCTTGATAGGATAGCTAGAGGACTCAGGTTTGAAAATTCTGTAGTGGTTGAAGCTATGAATAGAGCAAGTGGCATGGCTTTGTTTTGGACTCAGGACACATACATTCTAGAAGTGAACACTACTGCCTTTACGATAGAGGCTAAAATTGAAGACAGTGACAATCAAATTACTTGGTGGTTTGTAGGTTTGTATGCTAGTTGTGATCAGATGAATAGGAGGGAGCAATGGAGGGTGCTCAGTAGGAGGAAAAGGTTACGGGGAGCTAGGTATTTGATAGCTGAGGACTTCAATGACATTCTGTCTAATGAGGAAAAGTGGGGAGGTGTAGTAAGAGAGGAGAGGAGCTTTAGGGACTTTAAAGATTTTATTGATCAAAATAACTTAGTAGATATTGGTTTTGAAGGTCAACCTTGGACGTGGAGCAATCACTGGAATGATGAAGGTGAAATCAGGCAAAGACTTGACAGATGCCTATGTAGTGTTGATTGGTTCCAAGATTTTGAGAAAGCAAGATGTCAACACTTGGACACTTTTGCTTCTGATCACTACATGCTTATGCTAGACACAGTCCCGGCAACAGATAGGAAAAAGAAAAGGTTCTATTTTGACAAGAGATGGCTTCAAAGGGAAGGGGTGCAACAAGTGGTTGAGAGAGCCTGGAATAAGGAGAAGCAAGGTTCTAGAATGTTCAAAATTACAAAAAAGATTAGAAATTGCAGAATTGAACTCTTGAAATGGAGGAATTCTTTCCAAGCTAACTCTAGGAGTAAAATCAATGATCTAAAGAAAGATCTGGAGGAAGTTAGGAATTCAGAGTCTGTTAATAGAAGGAAAAATCTGATTGACATTAAAGATAAGTTGAGCACTGCTTATAAGGAGGAAGAACACTTTTGAGACAAAAAGCTAGAATTAGTTGGCTTAGGGAGGGGGATAAGAACACTAAGTATTTTCACACCTATGTCAAGGGAAGGAGAGTGAGTAATAGAATCAGGAATTTGCAAAGAAATAATGGTTCTTGGACTAATAATGAGGATGGGATAGTGAATGAAATTTCTGATTATTTAAGGAACTGTTTAGAAGTAGAGGGAGAGACGACATGTCTGAAATCCTAGATGATATTCCACACTCCATAACTCAAGAGATGAATGCTAATCTGACTAAAGTAGTAGAGGAAAAAGAAATTCATGATGCTCTCTTTTTCATGAACCCTAAAAAAGCTCCAGGACAAGATGGGATGGCTCCACTATTTTTTCAGAGATTTTAGAGTACCATCAAGAGGGACATTATCTCAGCAATCCAAGCCTTCTTCAATTCAGGCTTCATGTTTAAATCCATTAACCATACGGTTATATCCCTTATTCCCAAATCCAGCACCCTACCAGCTTAAAGAACTTCAGGCCTATCAGTCTTTGCAGTGTGCTTTACAAAATCATCTTAAAAATTTTGGCTAACAGATTAAAGACTGTCCTGGACAAATGCATAAGCAAGACTCAATCAGCTTTTATCCCAGATAGACAGATCCTAGATAATGTGATTGTTGCTCATGAGTACATGCATTACCTAAAAAACAAAAGGCAAGGGAAAGATGAATACATGGCAATTAAGTTAGATATGGCAAAAGCTTATGATAGGGTGGAGTGGCATTTTTGCAGGCAATGATGAAAAAAATGGGTTTCTGCAATACATGGATTGATTGGATAACTAGCTGCCTGACAACAGTCAATTATTCCTTCAACTGTAATGGAGAAGTTAAAGGTTTTGTCTCACTAGGAAGGGGTATTCGACAACGAGATCCATTGTCTCCATACCTGTTCTTAATATGTTCTGAGGGATTCTCCAATTTGCCAAGAAAAGCTGAAGAAAGCAAGAGGATCACAGGTGTGAAAATCAGCAGGCAAGGCCCACTACTCACCCATCTTTTCTTTGCAGATGATTCCCTCATCTTTTGTAAAGCAAACAAGCAAGAGGCGGCTGAAATAATGAAAGTTCTAAAAGTCCATGAAATAGCTTCAGGGCAGCTGATCAACCTTGACAAATCTGTAGTTTTCTTTAGTAAAAATATGAAATGTGAACAAAGAGGAGAGATATGCCAAGCTTTAGGAGGGATGATGGAAGCCAAGCAAGGGAAGTATTTGGGACTTCCTATGGTGATATCCAGAACAAAGGATCAGATATTTGGTTTTGTAAGAGAAGACTTCAGAATTGGAAAAACAAATTTCTGCGCTTAGCTGGAAAAGAGGTCATGTTGAAGGCAGTTGCAATGGCCATGCCTAGAGATACTATCGAGTCGAGTCGAGCTCAAGTAGCACCATACTTGAGCTCGAGATCGATCAGAATCAGTGCTGCTTGAGATTGAACAAGTAAAAAAATTTGGACTTGAGCTCGACTCGATAAAATAAAATTAAACTCGAGCTCGACTCGTTTGAGCTCGAGTAAGCTCGAGTAAATATCAAGCCCGATCTACTCGAGCTTGAGCTCGAGTTTTGGAATAAACCTATAATTTTTTTTCAAAATATATAATATAAAAACTCGATTAAACTCGTCGAGTACTCGAGTATTTATTTTTGGAGCTCGAATTCGACTCGTTAAATGTAACGAGTAGCTCGAGCTCGAGCTCGAGCTCGATTTGACAAAGCTCGAGCCAAGCTTTTTACCAAGCAGCTCGCAAGCTACTCGTGAGCGGCTTGACTTGATTGCACCCCTAGCCATGTCTACGTACATAATGTCATGCTTTAAGCTGTCAAGGAAACTTTGCAAAGACATTAGTACTTTGATGTCTAATTTCTTGTGGGGTGAAACTGAGGGAAGGAATAAAATGCACTGGATATCTTGGGACAAAATGGTAGCACACAAAAACACAGGTGGTCTTGGTTTCAAGGATTTGGAAGCCTTCAATAAAGCACTACTGGGTAAACAGGTATGGAGGTTACTAACCAAGCCAAACCTTCTTATCAGTAAGGTGTTGAAGGCTAAATATTTCCCTTAGGAATCCACTCTACAATGCACCCCCCTTAAGAATGCTTCATGGATTTGGCAAGGATTAATGGGAGCAAAAGGTTTGCTAGATGAAGGCTTGATCAGGAGAATTGAAAATGGTAGAAGTACGAGAATCTGAGACCATAATGGTTACCAAAAGCACTCACGGGGAAGCCATCTATTTGCAGAACAAGTAACTGTGAGTTGAAAATGGTGGATGAGCTTATATGTCAGCAGAGATGGAACAGGAATATCATATTCAGTAACTTCAACAAGGAAGATGCTAAGAGGATCCTCCGCATCCCTCTAAGCTTATCAGGGATAGAAGACAGCTTTTACTGGAAACCAAAAGCTGGAGGGGAATATACAATTGACTCAGGATACAAAATGTTGATGGACAAAGGCAGCAGCAGAAGGAGGTGTAACCTGGAGGGAGTGGGATCAAGCATTTTAGAAAGAAGCCAACAAATGACTCAAATATGGAATTGACTTGGATTTTATTTAAGAGTAAATCCTAATTATTCGATAATATGATCCTATCATTTGATTCATGATAAAGTGTGTAAGAATTGTTTTAAACACCTTCATGTTTCGCATAACTAATCTAATTCATCTCCAAACTAAAGTGGGAACATATACCCTGTAGTAAGAAAAATTAATTCTTAATATATATATATATATATATATATATATATATATATATATATATATATATATATATATATATATATATATATGTTAATAACCGGATTATATGGTTACTAGTATGTTTAAATTTGTCTTAGAAGTTGATAAAGTATTGAAGTAATAAGTAGAAGTGAATGTGTTAAACAATTAAGATTTTGAGGAACTAATTAAGGAGACTAGAATAGGAGTAATTAGAGGCACACTTAACTGGATTGCAGAACTTGTAATTAGAGTAAAACGCAAAAATTGAAATAAACTATGAAGTGGCTAATACTGATCCTGAATGTGTGCACTAGTAGGTGTTCGGGATGGTTAGTGTCAACATTGTTTATATTTAAAAAAAAATCATTAATATTGAAATAAACTACGAAATGGTTAGTATTAGTACTGAATGTGTGTACTCGTAACCATTCGTAATGGTAAATGTTCATGATGTGTGTATTTAAAAAAATAAATCACAAATATTGAAATGAACTATGAAGTGGCTAATACTGATCTTGAATGTGTGTACTCGTAGTTGTTCTTGTTGTACTGTTAACAATGTTTCCATTTTTGAGACTGATTGCTTGTTACAGAGGTGAGATGTATGATAACGAAAAAGGAGAGAAGGAAAAAAAAAAGTGTCAAGTGGTTGTATAATATTAACTGGTTAATACTATTTAAGTTTCAACGAGTTTATTTGTTACGTAAAATTACTCTTTGCATCCGAAAGATAGCATGATCAAAGAGTTATCTGCCAACTAGATAAGAGAACCCTGAAGTTCTCCATTGAACGGCAAGTGCCAATGTGTTATTGGAGGAAACAGTTTAGTTTTTCAATTTTGGGGTTTAAGGAGTGAGAAATGTCTATTTGAGACTTGGTATCCAAATTCAAAGGCTCAATAGTTCCTTACTATTTTGGGGCTAATTGGAAACAATGATTTAATTATTTCATTTGTTTCTTTTGTTTGCTTCTTAATTGATGGGAAAGGTCAATTGAGTCCTTTTATAAAAATTAGCTCTTTAAATAGTTGCTAACTATTTAGGATTATTTTTGTATGCTTGAAATTATTTGCTTTATAATTTTCTGGTCAAATGCAAATAGTTGTAGATTATTTTGGGCTCCTTTTATTACATGGTTTTTTTTTTTGAATTAATTAAGATAATGGAGCCAGTCAAATTAGTGTAGGTCATGTTAGGCCTGTTAGTTAGTGAAACATCCAAATTAACAAGAGGTTAGTCTAACACTTAGCCCTAATAAGATTCTCTCTTAATCATCATTTTTATTCGTTGTTTAGGTTTCAGAAGGAGAACTTCCTTCCCCTTTCTTCTAGTGAGATAGATGCCTATGAGCATGCAAAATCTTCACTTTTCTACCAATTCCTCCGACAACTAATTGTACTTTCTTTTGATTGCAACCCAAAAATCCTCCATGTGCATGTGAAGTTTTCTTTTGCCCTCAAAATCATCTTAGTGAAATTTTCTTTTCCCCCAGAATCAGCTCAGTTTAGGGATGAATGCTGTACCGATTTATCAATGATTTTTGCACTGGATTTGAATTTGGCCTCTTTTCTTGCTATTTGATTTGAAGTTTTGTTTACTTTTGGAAAAGAATTTTTAATCATGTATGGTACAGCTTTCAAAACCTACTACTTAGACAAGAGCGACATAGCAACCCATTCATATACCAGTAATAATTATCGGAGACCCGCGACCCTCAAATTAGGGGATCTCCCTCCCTAGACCGACTGGAAAATTGAAATCACTAGTTGGTTGGTTTCTCGACTATGTTAATCAGTTTGGTTTTAGACTTGATAATTAGCATGACATCCTTAAGAAGAGCTATAAATATTGTAGATTCTAAGAGTTTTTTAAATAAAGGTACATTTAGTAGGGTAAATAGCATCATTGTGCAAAGGTTGTTTATATTTAGTGGCACACGATAAGCATATCTACAATCCACAATTAAAAATTTAAAATTATCACGTAGTCCTTGAATTAAGTACTTTTGAAGAAAAAATTTATTTTTGCACCAATAAAAGAAACTTCAAAACCACTACTTGAGGGATGGCTACTTGTGTTCAGACACCGAATAAATTTATTAGAACATGGTAAAGCCACTTGAGAAAAGGTTGAAACTTAATGTTGATCAGTCTTGGAAAAGAGGGAAGGCAGGAGGTTGAAAATTTACTCAGACCATGCTGGCAAATCTGTGATCCTGAGGATGTTGAGCTTCCCATTCAGTCCAAAGTCAATTTTAGCTTCTCACAGCCTCCTCCACATGAGGTATATTCTTAGGTTAACCCACAACCCTGTTTTTATCCTAATAGCCATTATTACTGGTAGTAGCAGTAGTAATTTTCTCTCCTCCTTTTTCCCTGTGAGGATTTTTAATCAATTGTTGAGAATTTCAAGTTTTGTGCTTATTCACTCCATCAAAGCTGATTGAATTCAGATTAAATATAAATTTAATTCAAGCTTGTTACTGAAAATTAAATTTAAATTGAAAATACAAAAACAAGCTTGAAATTCTATTTTACTATTTTTTCTTCCTTGTCTTTGTTTTCTGTCCTTGTTATTGTTTAGTAACTTGAAGAATGATTCCATTTATCTTCTCTATGGAGAGAGTTTGGAGAAAATACTAAGTAGAAGCATCCATCCATGACTTTGTACCCTATATTTTTGTCCCTTTTCATTTGTTCTAAGATACATTTATTTTTAATTTGCTAACATGGATGGTGAATGCAAGGGTTAGAGTTATGTTATAATTTTACTTGTTAGACAACAATAATATTTTTGTAGTTTTTCTTAATTTTATCAGGTGTGTGTCTATATATATATAGTGTGTGTCTATATATATCTATATATATTGACAAATGTTTATGAATATTGTAATTTTGTAATATTATTGCATATTTTATACTTTTATATGTTTTAAAAAAATCAAAATTTGTGGGATTACGCCCCATATCTTAGGGCTTTCACCCGGTTGGGCGAACATGGATCGCTCTGTCCAATGCCGTCGCGTTTAAACCATTGCTCAGAAGCACCACGCTGCCTGAGGTATTTATTTAGCACCACACCGCTGAAGATGCAGTGTCAGTTTCCTATAATTTGCTGCTTTTATCAGCTTTCCTTCACTGAGTTGTTGATTCGTCTGAATGTTTTTTGTTTTATTGTCATTAGCAATGTATTCTTTTTATGGAACCTGGAAGATGATATGTGAGTTTTTGAGGTGAAGTTGCAGTATTTAAAATTGTAATATTAGGGAAAGCCCTCTTCCCAACTGACATGCAAATAACATGCATTGTCTTGTGTCCTTGCAGTGAACAATATTGTATTGATTACTGTTCAGGTCCTACTAGAGCTAGATAGGAATAGAAAAATGACCCTTCTACCAAAATCAATTGCCAGGCCTAGAATTCCACTTCCTCCTGAACAGGATACCCTAATCCGTCCCAACTACCAATTTGCTATTAAAAAAAAAAAAGAAACAAAGCAAGGAAGCAGTTGAGGAAACAGAGGCTGATGAAGGGGCTGCTGATCCTAACCTAGACCCTTCTCAAGAGCAAAGAATAGATGCTTC